CCTAACTGTGGATCGATCTATCTCCATGGGAATTCTCGCTAAATTGCAATCAATGTAAGTGGCTTAGCTGTCTGTCACGTCTACTGAAACTGGCATGCCAGAATCCTAAGACTCTCAAGCTGAAAGCAATTTAGCGAGAAACCCTTTGGAGTTGGATTGATCCTGTTAGATTGATCTAGGAATGGGAACTCAGTCTAATGCTTGATACACATTTAACTTTCATCCTAATCCAATGTTATGCAGAATTAGAATTTGATGTTGGCTATGCAGTTACAGTAAGCATAATACATTAGTTCATCAGAATTGACAGTATCCTATTTCCTGCGTTTTTATTTTCTGGTTTTTGTCTGTACATTTGTCAGCTTTGCTGCCTTGTTATTATTCCTTTAAGATGGACAGTTAGGCTATACATTGTAATTCTCAAATAACTCTAATAAAAACCCTCCTTATATGTGTAGGGGAGGGCATGTAACTCAAAGTATAAGTCTGTGCTTACTGCTAATGTTCCGAATATCTAAACTTACTTCAGGGTTCAAAGGAAATTTTTTTTAATGTCACAAGAAATTCAATATAAAGCAATATCCATATACAACAAATGTAAATTTTTAATATAAAGAGAGAGTAACTCTGTTAAAGTACGTTATCAGAATTAAGAGACACTTATGTCATTTGAATCAGTAAATTAAATGATTACATCAGCAGAAGCAACAGTTGCCCCACCACCACCACCTACAGTATTTGCTACATGGCCATTTGTACTAACAATCATATCAAGTCTAGTTCACCTTTTCATTATTGACGTGACACAGTTTCCATGTGTACATATATATATATATATATATATATATATATATATATATATATATATATATATATATATTTTAAGGTCAACATCACAAAGAAAGCCAGAAATTCCACAGATTCCATTTCACTGGTGATCAATTCACTGCGCATGCTCTGATGTGACAAAATGGCCGAAGCACTAGCAGCAAATTTCACGAAGAAACTCTTGACATGTAGCATCTGTCTTGGAGAGTATGTGGACCCCCGTGTGCTGCCTTGCTACCATACATTTTGCTATGGTTGTATATTTAACCATGCTACAAGAGCTATGACTCGGAACAGGACATTTTTGTGTCCCCTTTGTAGAGAGGTGATTCAATTTCCAAGGGAAGGACTTGCGCAACTGAAAAAAGACTTCCGTGTTCACACAACAAAAGACCTTCTCAGGCAGCATGAAGTACAATCAACAACTATAGAAACTAATGTGCAAGGAGTGACACGTGGCATCTCACAAGTGATGGTCAAATGTGAGAAGCATCCTACAAATGAGTTGAAATACTATTGTGAAGATGATGATACCGTTGTATGTGGTGACTGTGTATCAACAGAACATTACAGACATGGTATTGTGCCAGTTGAAAATGTTGCAAAAATCAATGGGGAAATGATAGAAACTGTCCTTGTAAAAACTTTGTCAAAACTAAAAATGGTCAAAGAAGCAGAAGAAAAGGAAAAAGCCAATAAAACAAAAGAATTGCAAATCATGGCAGCCTCCATCAACAAAATCAAAGAACAGGCTCAACGTATTCGAAGATTGGTTAACGAGAGGGAACAAGTACTGATATCAGAAGTAAATTCTGCTGGTGATACCAGAAAAAAGGAGGAGGACACCCTTGAATGTCACCATGCCTCCTTGAGCAGTGTGTGCAATTTTGCTCAGGAACTTCTCACAAATGGTTCTGCCTCTGACATCATGAGTCACACTAAAGCTCTGACAGAGAGACTGACAGCGATGGAGAGAATACCAGTCCTAACTCCACACACACCAGCACTGATATCCTACAGCCCTGGTGACATATCTACTGCTGGACTGGAAGCTATGTTAGGACAGGTGACAGTACAGTCACAACCTCCCAGACTTTCTAGACTGGACGAAAATCTATCATTTCCAACTTCAGACACGTCAGCACAGATATCCTACAGCTCTAGTGAGATATCTGTAGCTGGACTGGAAGCTGTGTTAGGAGAGGTGATGGTACAGCCACAACTTCCATTTGCTGAGCACGGAACAAATCGAAGATCAGCATCACATCCTCCTATTTTCTTAGAGAAGGCAGAATGTGTGCATTCCTTTAATCCTCAACTCAAATATGATAAAGATATGTTCGCAAGTGGGCTGGCCATAGATGAACAACATATGTTTCTTGTGGATAACAGCAATGACAGAACAAAGGTTTTCACAAATGAAGGGCAATTCAAGTTACACATAAAGCTAAATGGTCCACTTGATGTGGCTGTGTCACAGACTGGTCTCCTATATACAACATCACTGGGTGACAAATGTGTCCAAGTGTACTCCACCAGAGGCCAGCGAGTGACAACCATGGGTCAGGGTCTACTGGGGCATCCATTTGGTGTAACACTAAACAGACAAGGTCATGTGATGGTTTGTGATAGAAGTAAGAAATCTATCTTCGTATTCCATGCAGACAGTGGACAGCTCCTGAACACTATTCCACTCAGTATGTGTAACATCCCAATGTACATCACAGTGAATAGTGTGAATGATAACATTGGGATATCAGACTATGGCAGTCACTGTGTACATGTGCTGTCACATACTGGTGATCATCTGTACCAGTATGGCACACGAGGTAGATGTAATGGTAAGCTGTTTGGACCAAGGGGAGTGTGCACAGACAGCTATGGTCATACCTTCATTGCTGATGATGGTAACCACAGGATAGTGGCACTGAGTCCACATGGACAGTTTATCAGATACATTGCCACTGAGGAGGATGGGTTGAAGTATCCCAGATCATTAGCCATCAACCCTGCTGGCCAGCTGGTGGTGGGAGAGGGAAGTGGCCTGGTTAAGACTTTCAAGTTCTTACAATAAATGCTATACACATTTTACAAATTGTTATACAATATAAGTCAGATGTTGCTATGGACTAAGAGGAAACCTACCAAGAAACTACAATAAGACATGCAATATATATTGTAATGCTGATCTCTTTTTACCATGGAGGTTACCATCCATTTAGTGATTTACTGATACAAACAACAATATAAGTACAAGTGGTCAGCAAAGGGGGCACCAACTGCTTCTGCTGATATATATCAAAAGAAATATCCTATGGTTCAATCCACCTTTAGTAGAAATGCACAGACTAATGTCAGTAAACTATTTAAAAAACTTATTAACCCCCATTCCCAGCATGTTCTTTATTACACATAGTCAAGATTTTTAATAAAAATAACATTAAAGTCAGCTACAGCTGTATGGACAATATTGCCCAAATCATTAAAGCTAAGAACAACAGTTTGTTGAATAACTCTAGAGCTGTCGATAATGTATTAGAAGTAAAAACTTGCAACTATAGGATAAAAAGTGAATGACCAATGAATGGCAAATGTCTAGAAAAAAAGTAATTTGTAAGGCAACTGTGATAACCAAAAACGAAACAAAAGAAGTAAATGCCAACATTCCAGAAAATACTTGCTGAAAAACATTGATTATACGCACTGATTTTCCAAAGTTACTTATATATTTGTCTCAAAATCAGCCAATTATAATGTAACATAACCACATTCCTTTGTTACCTGTAAGCGCGATGTGGCACTCACGTCACACGCATATTTTTTGTGCGATGTTTCGTATTGACCTTATGTAGAGGTCTTCTTTTGTATTTTGATCTGTTTGCACCCCTGACGAGGCCTCCGGGCCGAAAAAGAGCTGTAGTGACTTATATTAATTAAAATGGAGAGAACATATTAACTTTGTTTGTTTTCTTGTCTTTCTGCATCAGCTCCCCATGGTCCATCACCATTGGTAGAGCACTCTTCCAAAGTAAATCAATTATATTCTCCGTCATATATATATATATATGATATTGATAATGATAATGATGATATTATACAAAGGACAGTGTCTTTTAATTTTGATTACTGTTTTAACAGTGTGTTACTCTGACATGATGTTACATGTGCATTTTGTAGATATGTGGATATTGCTTTGAACTGAATTCCTTGCAAAATTTGATTTTTGTTAGAATTTTTCATTACACTTTTTTTAGAATTGTATCTTGAAAAAAAGTTTATATTTTTCAAAATTTAATAAATATATTAGCTCTTTTATTTTAAGTCACATGCCCTCCTTACCATGATTCTGGAGGGGGGGGGGTTACTTGGTGTATTTAGAGAAATTAAAATTGAAGTTCATTAAATAACAATTCTTCCCATCTGAAAATCGTTATTAAAATCAGTGTAGACCCAGTTAGTCTTGGTCTTTTCTCAAACTACACTATGATGTTTGTCTATAAATACTAATCAAATGCCAGTTTAAAAGGATGGCACTGCCATTTAGTATAAAAGTCCGAAATATGGCATGGGGACCAGTGGGTGGCCTAGGCCAATGATATTTTTGGCTCCCAAAAGTGGGAACTCTGCTGCTAGTTGGAAAAATCTCATCCCTGAGTTAAGAACCTCCATATGTCAGCCATTATCAACACTGACTGCAACAAGGCTGTACTTACCTGAGCTGTGGACTGTAGCAGATTGCAGCATTGCCAGGTAGAGTCCATGGGGTGGTGGTCCATATGACAGCAAACAAGTTATCAGGACAGCTGCCTGCAATATTGAATGAAAAGATGAAGAATGGACTCCATTCAAGTTCTTTGGCTTAATTGCAATTAGGTTAAAATGTAAATCAAGTTAAGAGAGATGAAATGTTTGTGGGAAATCAACCAACCAATCTCCCCCCCCCCTCCCACGCACACAGACTTGAAACATGGCTGGGTGAAGGGGGAAAAGAGGTGAATTCCATACTAGTAAATATGTACCTAGAGATGTAATGTGACTGTGGAGTTGCACGCTTTATTCACTTTTTGGGGTGTTTCTCAGTGAAAATAGGTAAGAATGTCAAGCAGTGCACTTTCACCCTCTTAGGATATAGACCTTGAACACCTCTCGCTAACACCTGAAGTGTTCTGGCATATACCTCACATAATGTATGAGAATAACAGGCATAACTTCTAAAATATAGAATTCACCATGAATGAATATCATCCTACCTAAAAGTGTGGTAAGAGCAGTGGAGGTGTGTGCTACTTTAAGCTGCAGGTATATTGCAGTACTCTTGTGATCTGAATGGTACTCCAGCTCTGCTTCAGCCAAGGCAGTTCTGAAATAAACAGAAATTCAGTATATTGATAGCTTCCAGTTTTTAGTGGCAACAACAGATTTTTAACTAGTGAAACAGTCTTTTGGATGTGTAGCATCAGATGGTTTAACATATCAAAGGGATAATAACACATTATTAAAGCTAAACAGGTGTTATGAAATGATCTCAATTTACACACATATTGACAGAAACATCTGTGAAAATTTACCTTAAGTTCACAACCAGAAAAAAATTGCAGCATCATAGCTATTTTTCTGGTTAATTGTGTATGAACTGACATGGTCAAACCAGTGACGAGATGTACTTGGAACTTTTCAACCACGTAAATAAAAATTTGGTCAAAAGTTTACTTGTTAAATCAAGGCTTTGCAAACACGACAAAACTATACTTTGGCTAGTACAATAAAACGTACATTACCATCTTCATGAAAACATACTACTGATTTGGTTAAAAAATTTACTAACAAAAACAAAGCCAATATTATGAAGCCAAGAACACACGTCTCTATGTCAGGAAGTGAGAGCAGTTACCCTACCTGGAAGAAGGGGACCAATAGACAGGCATGAAGTCATCGTAAATGTACCCCTAGAAAAAACAACAGAGAGTGAAACATCTATTTCTCAGATTGTAAGCATACACCAGAAAATGTTGAACCTAACAATATCATCAATGCTTGGTGTCCAATACAGTAATTTTCAGAAAAAGAGTGAGTAAAATAGAAATTCTAAAGCTGTAAATTTTTCTGGGCAGTTTACCTTTTTAAACATGTCATAAAATGCTGTCAACTGGTTGGCTTCATAGTCTTTATCAAAGGTGAAGTAGCGCCCTTTAGACCAATCTGCCATTATTCCCCACTGCTCAAATGATGCTGTCTGAACTTTGATAGCTTTTTCTGCAAACTTCCTGGCTGAAAATTAAATCCTCCATATTTAATTTAAATTATACAAACACAATTGAATCCTACCCTATGAAAAATATTGTCAGATATCATTAAACCGTTATTTAAAAGCACTTCACTGTAAAATGAAAGAGAAGTGCATATTTGAAAGCACAATGAATTGAGACCAGATGGAAAACTTCTGAATCGTGTATATGTGATGCCATCAGTTTGGAAATAGTAACCCCTAGCTAACAACATATTAGCTTACAAAATATCAGAGTAGAAAATTGACATATTTANAGAGAGAGAAGTAAGTGTGAGGTAAAAAAGAATTATTGTATTCTGTAATTAACATTACCTAAGTTCAATAAAAAAAAAATCTTACTCCTAAATTTGACTTTGGATCAAATTATGAAAGGGAAACTAGGAAATCTATAAGAACACACACACACACACACACACACATATCGACAAAAACTAAACACATGTTTGAATTTCAAATGATTATTTCTCAACAGTGTGTACGGAGGCCGGTATGGACTGTCGTACAGTATGGGACAAGTATAACAACTGCTGGGACACCACCCTAGGACAACCCTCATATGGCGGCCAGGGTCCGTGAGTTGTTTTGGTGCTGTCTCATAGACTACAGCACTTCAAAATTGTTTTATTGTTAACGTGATAAACATCTTAATTCCCCAAATTAGTTCTTTGCACACCAAAGCCTTCATTTTCTCTAGTAACACAACACGTCGTTAAGTCGGGTAATTGCTAAATAATATGTCGGTTAAAGCTTTTGCAGTGCGATTTTCGCAATGATTGCAATGATTGCAAGATCTTTATTCATCAGAATCCAAGTTTTACCCAGGCATACTCCCCCCTCCCCCCCCCC